TGCACATTGAAAGGGAAATAATTAGAAGGAATATTTTAATATTGCTATTTGCCCTTTCTCTCTCAGCGCCTGGGAGCGGGAGCTGGGCAGTGGCCCCGTCCCCCCCACCGCTTCTGGTCGCAATAGATAGGGCAATCAGGCCCCTGCTCATACCTGCCTTGTCCTGGTGTCACCTGCTCACCTACTCCACCATCCCGCCGCAGTCCCGCTCTTGTCGGGGCCTGTTGGGGCCAGCAGCACCTCCACTGCTGCCCGCTGCCAGTGCTGACACCTGCCATGTTCTGTGCCTCCCCCTGGTGGTCAGCACACATCATACCGAGTGGTCAAACTCCCCATCTCCTAGTGACTAGGACCTAGTCGAACTCCCGGTTGAACCATTACCCAAGGGGATAATTTGCATATTAGGCTTTTATTATATAGGATGAGGATCCCCTATAGCCATTTTATCTTTTGTTTTCTGGTAGCTCTGTGCCCCCATTGATTCTTTTTCTTTGTGCTTCTGTCTATTCTTTTTGTTTGGTGGTATTCCATACTTCTTTCCTCTTTTTTTAAGCTTTAGGTCTCAGTTTTTGTGTGTGTTGTGTGTGTGGTTATCATTAGGTTTATGAAAAGGAAAATTTCATATATACAGTAGCTTTTTTCCTTAAATGCATCTGATCTCCATCCTTCTTTGCAAATTCAGATCTTTCACTGCTGCCCTTTTATGTTTTTGTTGTCCCAGAATATCCCTGTATATGCTGCAAGTTTGTTGGTGCTCTTACTCATAGTTTTGTGACTTTTTGTTCTTTGTTTCAGGTAGAATAAGACACGTGAGTATTTCCTGCAATGCAGGTCTTCTGGTGATAAATTTTCTTAACTTCTGTATGTCTGAAGAAGTCTTTATTTCTCCTTTATAGCTAAAGGATAACTTTGTTGGATATATTATTTTTGGTTGGTAATTTCTTTCTTTTAGTAGTTTGAATTTTGATTCCACTTTCTTCTAGCTTACAGTTTCTGCTGACAAGTCCAATGATAACCTAATGGGCTTTCCTTTATAGGTTACTTTCTTACTTTCCCTGGCTGCCTTGAGAATTCTTTCATTGTCATTAATTCTTGACAATTTTAATACAATGTATCTTGGAGAAAAGAAAGCCTTTTTGGATTGAGCTAATAGGTGTTCGGTTTGCTTCTTGGATTGGAGGATCTAGTTCTTTTCGTACGTTTGGGAAGTTCTCATCAACTACTTGTTAGAATCGCCTCTCTATTCTTTTCTCCCTCTCTTCTTCTTGTGGTATATCTGTTCTCATATTGTTCTTTCTGATGGAATCAGAGAGTTCTAATAGAGTTCTTTCATTTTTTTTTATGCTCAAATCTCTTCTTCCCTCTGCATTATTTCTGGATTTCTATCTTCAATATCACTAATCCTTTCCTCCAGCTGCTGTTTCCTATGCTCGCTAGTTCATCCTCAGTCTCTTTTATCCAGTTCTCTATCTCCAGAATTTGTTTGGTTCTTTTCAACAGTTTCAGTCTCTTTAGTAAAGTACTGCTTTGTTCGTTGATTTGTTTTCTGAGCTCATTAAATTGCCTGTCTGTATTTTCTTGAATCTTGCTTTATTTACTTATTTATTTATATTACTTTTAAAATATTTTTATTGATTTCAGAGAGGCAGGGAGAGGGGGAGAGAGATAGAAACATCAATGATGAGAGAGAATCACCGATCGGCCGCCTCCTGCACACCCCCCACTGGGGATCGAGCCTGCAACCTGAATTGAACCCAGGACCCTTCAGTCCACAGTCTGATGCTCCATCCACTGAGCTAAACTCTGTTGAGTTTTCTCAGAACTGCCATTTAGAGTTCTTGAATGTCTGTTGTTTAGATCACATATTTCCATGTTTTTAAGTTTGTTTTCTGGATATTTTTTATCTTTCTGAGCTGCCTCGCTACCTTGGTTATTCATGGTATTTGATGGATTCCTTCTCTGTCTATGCGTCAGTGTATGAGTGGCATTTATCTAGACGGTTAATATGAAGAGATCTTTATGTTATTTTGCAGTAGGCAGTAGGCAGTGATGAATCAGAAGCTTTTTAGCTCTCTTGCACTTCTCTGGCTATTCTCTGGTCCCTGAGTATGTGGTTTCCTTCCCTGTGATAGTGTTTCCAGGTCCCAGTGGACCAACCCCACAGGGGAATGTGGTATACAATGGGGCTCCAAATCCGTGAAATCCCAATGCTGTCCCCCACAGTCAGACGCTGCTGTCAATGTAGCAATGATGTGTGGGAGTTAGGGTGGGCTGGGGTAACCTGGCTGGCTTCTTTGTTGTTTTGTCCTCCAGGTAATAGCATCCTTGTACCTCCATGTGCCCTGACCCCAGGACTGGTCACATAGTGTACATTTTGCTCAGGGAAAAAAAGTGAATCTGTAGTACCAGTTCTCGGCTTTGTAGATAATGTGCTCTGCAACCTGCACAAGATGCTGTGTTATTGCCCAGGTCTCTGGGCTCAGCCACTGCTCGTACTGCCCACTCCTGCAAGAATGCCCACTAAATCTCTTTGCTTCTTCCAGCTGATTGTCTTGCCAGCCACAGCCTGATTCCTCCCCTCTCTAAGCTGAGCCCCATCATGAGCTCAGGCTGTAGGGCTATGTCCCTGGCTTGTCTCAGCTTTTCTTCCTTCTTGCCTCCCGGGTTCGCTCCCACTTGCCCACGTTTAGATCTTTCAGTGTGTAGATCTCTAAGGTGTGTTTGTACACTGAGGAGGGAATCCTTTGTTGAGTTATAGCTGTTCAAACTGTTGAAACTTCAAGGGAAAAGACCAAGGGGATCTCTCATGCTGCCATTCCTCTCAATTTCAATTTCTAAACATTTCAATTTAGACTAGACATATTTTAGTTGCTCAGTAGCCAAATGTGGCTATTGGCTAATACAGCGATTTTCTACCCTTTTCATCTCATGTTGCACATAAACTAATTACTAAAATTCTGTGGCATACCAAAAAATAATTTTTTGCCTATCTGAACAAAAATGTAGGTATAATTTTGATTCATTCACACCAGGCAGTTATTGTTGTGTTGGCTATTGTCATTATTTTTTTATTTGACAATATAAAGGAAAAGAGGTCAGTACACCTGATGAAATAGTCAGGTATTGTATGTTTTAAAAATTCCTACAGGACACCAGTTGAAAATCACTGGGCTAATGTATTGGACAGTGCAGCTCAAAAGGAGTTAAAGATTACTGTATTTTCCAGTCCTCCTTTAATATATTTTGTCTCATTGGGACTTATGGTGTTTTAATTCTTTTTCTGTAAAATAAAACTTAGGTCATATAGACTTTACCAAGAATACCTTTTATGGTATTCTGTGGCTTGGGGTTTTGAGAGAGGTGGAGAATGGGAAAGTCTTTCTGGGAAGACTTCATAGCTAATGATAAGTTGTGATGATCTTTGAATGTCTGCCATCTAAGTGTTCTGTTTTTATTTCTTCATCTTGCATTAGCAGAGACTAGTGAGATTGTTTGGAAAATGAGCACAATATTTAAAGTATTAAAGTGATAAGGAAAGTGGGTCAAGAAAGCTAATTATCACCCAATGAGCATTATCCTTGCAGAAAATCTCCAAAAGATAATGAAGGGCAGAATCTTTTGCCTTTTTTCTAGCACTTCAACTACAAGTAAATTGTGGCTTCTGTTATCATATAAGTTTGATATTGCCCATCTCACCAATTGCTACTTCATTTTTTTATTTAGATAGTCAAGTGAAATTATCTAGTTAGGTATTGTGTGTTTTAAAAATTATTGTGGCATACTGGTTTAAAGTCGCTGATCTAGGCAGGTCAGAGGACTGCAGGGGGAATCAGAATAACTATCCTGGCTTTAGCCAGGATCAGAATAGTTTTATCCTGGGTTTAGCCTTTTGGTACAGTTTACACTGAATGGAGAGTACTAGACTCTCAGCTATCTGCTTGCTACCTTTTAGCAGTGCTCTGGAAGCATGTGTCTATGCTAGAAATGAAATGTAACTGCTAATAATTATACTGCTCACAGAAGTTCGAGACACATTAGGAGATGTCCCTCCAGTCAGTGTTTAACAGTGATGCCAAAAACAGACAAGTAGTTAATTATCTTTTACTAAACAATCTGCTTCTTAGTATATATGTTAGTGACACTCATGTATATATGCCTCAGGAGTCATACACTAGAATGTTCATAGCAGCATTGTTTGAAATAGTCAAAAAGTATCCATTAACAGGAAAATGGATGAGTTGTGGTAATATGCATCAGAATATCTGATGGCAGTGAGAATAAATGAACTTTGGATACACACACATACCAGGCTTCATCAAAAGAGGTTTCATTTCTTATTCTCTAAATCAAAGTAGGCACAGGGTTGGGAATATAAGAATATCTTAGCCTAGATTAGTAAAAGGGAAGAAAGAAAAATTCTCAGAGCTGCAAAACTTCCTTTATTATATCTAAAGTTGTGAGAACTCTGTATTGTGTTTTCAAACTGAGAATCAGAAAAACAATCACAATTAGCCAGTACATTCACCATTTTCTTGGACATTTTTAAATTTCCGAAGTGAATATAGCATTTTAGCTAGCAATCTGGCTAGCTAGTTCCATCCATCTCCATGGGCATCATCTTATTCATTTCTCAGCATGCTATGCTCGTTTTAATGTTTGAGAATTTTCCCCAACTTAAATTTGATTTATATAAACTTAATAGAGTGCTAGCAGTGCTTGGATAAAGAAAATTTTAAAGTTGTTTGATATTAAATTTTATCCTCATTTTAAAAAAAGACCTGAACAATAATTTTAACCGTTTTTAATTTTTGAAGGGAACATATCTTAGGTCTGATTATACTTGTCCTCTTTTCGGGCCTGTGATTTTTCAATACAAACCAGATTTTAAAACCTCTAATGTTCATGTTTAGGGGAAGAAAAAAAAGGGGGCAATCATATATTGTAATGGCAAATATAAACACGCCATTCATTAGGTTTCACTTTGTTTTCTATTTCTTTAGTGGTTTTTGGCAAATTTGTCATATCAAGAAGCACTTTCAGACACACAAGTTGCCATTGTTAACATTTTGTCCTCAACTTCTGGTAAGAAATGTATTTTTAAAATCTGCATTATGAATCAAGATATATTTCAAATATATATATATATATATATATATATATATATGTATTATACACACATTTTTATCTTGTTATAAATTATGTCATTTGTTCTCATTACATTAGTGTATTGTAACTATTTCTTAATCTTTATAGTTTTATACCATAGCCTTGTGCTATTTATATTTCTAACAAATACTTTACAGTATTTTGTATACCGATATGCTGGCTCTTTGTATTATAGTTGCCCTATCTTTCACATATTCTTTCCAAAGATCTTTTTCTAGATCCTTTGGCTAAATGTAATTGCTTATCTTAGAACTATAATTTGCCCTATGAAAGGTGTTTTTATTTTTAAAATTGAATCACCTTCCAAATCTAGAAGATAACAAGTGTTTTGAAGCTGTAAAAATAACTTTAACATACAAGTTTGATTATGATGATGTCAGAATATTATTCTGAATGCTCAGTTTAACTTTTTGTTAGTTTTTTAAAAAGGACTATATTTGATCTGTATTGTTGAAATAAACATGGCTTAGTTTAGAGGCTGTTTTTTTTGAGTATTAGTTTGGTTGTAGTCAATCCTCACCCAAGGGTATTTTTCCATTGATTTTTTTAGAGAGAGTGTAAGGGAGAAGGAGAGACAGACAGAGAGAAACATTGATTGGTTGTCTCCCACATGCTCCCCGACCAGGACTGGAGATCAAGTCTGCAACTGAGGTACATGCCCTTGACCGGAATCGAACCTGGAACCCTTCAGTCCGCAGGCCAATGCTCTATCCACTGAGCCAAACCGGCTAGGCCTAGAGGCTGTTTTTGTGTATGAACATTTCAGCGTAGGTAACTGCAGTCTTATTTTTAGTTCTTTTTTTTTTCTTTTTTGAAGAGAGGAAGGGAGAGGGAGAGAGAGATAGAAACATCAATGATGAGAGAGAATCATTGATTGGCTGCCTCCTGCGTTCTCCACACTGGGAAGTGAGCCCTGACTGGGAATTGAACTGTGACCTCTTAGTTCATAGGTCAAGACTCAACCACTGAGCCATGTTGACCAGGCTTATTCTTAGTTATTTAAAAAATGACAAAAATTAGTTTAAAAATTATTAAATTGATAGTAAATAATTTTGACAGAATTTAAGCCAATGTGTCTTTTTTCATCTTTTTCTCTCCATAGGACTTTTTACCTTAATCCTTGCTGCAGTATTTCCAAGTAACAGTGGAGATAGATTTACTCTTTCTAAATTATTAGCTGTAATTTTAAGGTAAGCATGTAGTGTAATAGCTTATTTATTCTGTTTAAAAATATGTATAAAATTTTTCTGGTTGTGAGAGAGGACAATTTATGTTACAGTGTACTGTATAAGCAAAGAAAGATGAGGATAGTAGAAAGTTTTAAATGGACATTTTGCCACTCAGCCCTGTGTCTTATCCTAGACTAGTTTTCTAAACCTCCCTAGGGAGGGTAACCTGAGGGAAGGACCTAAGGCAGGGGTGGGCAACCTTTTTGTGAGTGCGTGCCAAAACCAGCAAAATCTCTGACTCAAAATTCTTCTGCGTGTCAACCCTAATTTTTTGAGAACATGTTATGCCTACTTGATATCTCTTAAGGTGTATGTATGTGAAGAACCTTGAAGAAATAATAAAATTCATTCGAGCGACAAAAACACAGTATATGATGATGAAAACTACATTTATTTTTTAATGTATACATGTACACTGATAGTCCGACAGAAAACTTTATGACTCCGTTTGATATTATCAGTGGGACTTTTGCTGCTGCATCACTGATGACAGAGATTTTACATCAGGTTTATATTTCATGACCTTCAGAGATATGCACGAGCTACTACTTTCATCTGTCAGGCTCCTCCTATTATAAGACTTAACAAAATTCATCACTGAGAACAAAGATTCACAAGCGTATGTGGATGAAACCAAAACACTGGTCGGATCTAGGAAGGCAGGGAGAGTTAAGGCAGAGGCATAGAAATTGCTCTTCCCCTCTCTCGTCAATCCATGTCTGTGGTCTTTAAGATAACTTGTTATGTAAAATTATTTATCTAAGATGCACCTACACTGAATTTATCTGAAAAATAAAAAAGTTGATATTAAGAAAAAAATTGTAAATGAAAGATTATAAGAGAGGATTTTGCGTGCCAGCAAAAGTTACTGGCGTGCCGTGTTTGGCACGAGTGCCAGGGGTTGCCCACCCCTGACCTAAGGCATGTTGGTTGCCATTCATGTGACTGCAAACTAAGTATTGTACTGATGTTCACATTTAAGTTAATGTGACAAATTAATATTTATAATCTTCCAAATTTCCATTTTCTTAAAACAAGTTCCCCTTTTTGTTTGGGTTTTGGTCTTTATTTCTCCCCCTTCTAGAAATCTAACATGCAGTCTTCTCTGATTGCCTCAGCCTTTCATTTATTTTTTTATTTTGGCATTTTTATATTATTGGGTAGCATCAATATTGTCAATAACTGTGTTCTAATCTTTTATTTTTGTTTAACTTTGTGTATGTTTGTCTTGTCTTCTCATGAGATTTTAAGCCCCTTGTGCCACCAAAGGCCTAGATAGGGCTTTGCTCACCGACAGTACTCAAAAAAGATGTGTTGATTTGATTAAGCTATTGTTTTTGTGAGAGCAAATGAAAAATCAGAGAAAGTAGCAGAATGATTTAATGGAGAGATTGGTATTAGCTATCAGAGTTAGGTTTGAATCACAGCTCTGCTCTGTGTCCCTGGGCACTTCCCTTAGACTCTGGAAGAACTTCCTAGATCTCAGCTATGTGATTTTGGTCAATACTTCCTTTCTTTATGCTTAGTTTTCTCATGTGTAAAATGGAATGGTAATAACAATAACGCCTTCCTATACAGTAATATTGTACATTTTGTGTGGATTAAATTAGCTAATACTATAGCTCTTATGCTAGATATTGCCCTGACTGCTGGCTCATTTGGTTGGAGCATTGTCCTGTAGACCAAAAGGTTGTGAGTTCAGTTCCTGGTCAGGGCACATGTCTAGGTTGCAGGTTTGGTCCCTGGGACGCAGTCCATCTATGTTTCTTTCTCACATCAATGTTTCTCTCTCTCAAATCAATAAATTTCTGGTGAGAATTTAAAAAATTGTTTGATATTAATTAAATCACGAATTATTTGACAGTTTTACCCCAAAATTAGTCTTGATCATTTATAAATAATTTTCATCTTTATGCTTAGTTCTTTTAAGGGATTTATTATTTTGCTTATCAGTAACAACTGTTATTCTCATAGCATTGGAGGTGTTGTGCTGGTAAACCTGTCGGGGTCTGAAAAATCTGCTGGAAGAAATACGATAGGTAAGTTTCTGTTAGAGTATACGAGAAAATTTTGTGCATATCATCATCATGCCCACACAGAGGATGGGCACTAACTGGGGCTTTGTAAAAAAGACTTTTTTTTAGAGATAATGTTAAAAACATTCAAAAATATTTCATAGAATTCTCATGTAGCCTTCATCCAGATTCTTTGTTAACTACGTACATAGATAGCTACAAAATATAGTTCTAAAAATCAGGAGTTTACATTGATTAGAATTATATTATCTAGTCTGTATAGTCCTTTTCCAGCTTCACCATTTTTTCACTAATTTTCTTTTTCTGATCCAGGATCACTTGTTGCATTTACTTGTCATGTCTCTTTTGTTTCCTTCAATCTGGAACTACCCCTCAGTCTTCTTTTTGCCTTTCGTAACCTTAACACTTTTGAAGGTTACTGTCCTTTGGTTTTGTAGAATATCCCTCAATTTGCGTTTGTTTGATATTTCCTTATGGTTAAATTTATGTTGTATCTTTTTGGAAAGAATACCATGGAAGCGGTATTATGTTCTGATCAGGATATTATATCCGAAGACACATGCTGTTGATGTGATTAATGATGTTAATCTTAAGGTGGTGTCTGCCAGTTTTTTCCCTTGCTTTTGATCCATTATTTAGAGTTACAAAACAAAGTTAATCAGAACCCAGCCTAATGGTTTTCCTCTGGGTACTGTAGATATTTGAAGTTTATTGAATAGAGTAATATTTCTAAACTATTTCTGGATACTATCCAGTGAGTTGTGTCTTGAATTGCACCTTTTTCCCACCCAAAATAGTTTTGTAGGAGAAACAATATATGTATTTGTTGTGTGTGTGAGATTTTGTTGACAGGCTTTCCCATTGCTATTAAAAAAAAGTTGATAATAAGCAGATTTAATAAAACATTGGACTTTTGGATAATTGATTAAAGTATTGAATATGGTCACTTGGCAGATAGCATATTATTTAGCTATTTTTAAAGTTTTACTTACATGTTTTGAGAATGAGTTACTACATTAAAGTGGATCAATATTTACTATGTATATACAGTGAGCCCTGCCTTATGGTAGGTATTTTGGGACAGTAAAAAGTATAAATTAAGTGTTCTCAGTTTTCAAGGAATTCTTGGTTGTAATCAGTAGCTAAGATTTGCAAAGTGAAGCCACTAGAGAATAAAATTATATCACATTTAACTATAGTAAGCATTAAATTGCCCTAAGTAGAAGACAGGTAGGATGGAAATTCAGCAGAGGAGAGAGGATGCTTTGTGGCAGAGATAGGACTTTAATAGGGCCTTAAAGATGGTAGTGGAATATATATTAAAAATGACACATGTACCCTACCCGGTTTGGCTCGGGATAGAGCATTGGCCTGTGGACTGAAGGGTTCTGGATTCGATTCCGTTCAAAGGCTTGGTTGCAGGCTCGAATCCCACTTCTAGTCGGGGTGCGTGCGGGAGGCAACCGATCGATGTGCCTCTCTCACATCAATGTTTCTCTTTGTCACTCCCCCCTCCCTTCCACTCTTCTAAAAAGCAAAGGTAAACTATCCTCTGGTGAGGATTAACAGAAAGAATAAAAATAAAAGTGACAAGTGATAGGGGAAGAAGCATTGTTAAAGTTGGACTGTGTCAGGTGGCAAAATTGTTTATGGAGGGGAAATAGAAAGTGTGCATTTCAAAATTTAAAAACAAAGTGTTACTTATATGAATTTCAGTATTATAATATGTGTGTTGGGTTAGATCATTGAGGTGAATGTTTTTGCATTTATTTGTTTACACTTTAAACTCTTTCCTATACTCCTGGAGGATAAAGATAGGGTGGGCTGTACTTTATCTTTTCACATTTGCACACTCATTTCTTGAAATAGGATCCAACACATTGTTAGATTTTAAATAAGTGTGTGTTGAATGAGTTAATGAACAAATGCTTTAAATCATTATGTGGATCTTTACAGGTTCCATTTGGTCTCTTGCTGGAGCCATGCTCTATGCTGTCTATATTGTTATGATTAAGAGAAAAGTAGACAGAGAAGATAAGTTGGATATTCCGATGTTCTTTGGTAAGAATATGTTTAATTTGTGAGGCAATTTACTCTGAATTATCACTTTAGGGAAGAACAGGAAGGTATGTAGGCCAAATTCTGGGGGGTCTGGAGGTCCATCAGATTTTAAAGATTATGAAGTCCAATCTCAATGTTTTTCTCTTACCTTGTCCTGCATAGTTGTGTACCTATGAGGGATTGCTCCTTTCCTCAAAGTGAGGTAAAGAAAAAAATTCTTTTTAACGCCTTTTAAAAAAATAGTCATAGTAAACATTCATTGAGTGTGTACCAAGTAACAAGCATTATTCTAAGCCCCTATGCATATTAGCTCTTTAATTCTCTGAACAACCCTATGAGAGTATTACCCCCCTCTGACAGTTTTGCATTAATGTCTTCAGCCTATGAATCAGATAGTTTTCTCATTGATATGACAGAATCATATATATATATATATATATACTAGGGGCCCGGTGCACAAAATTCGTGCACTGGGTGGGTGTGTGTGGGGGGAGTGTCCCTCAGCCCAGCCTGCCCCCTCTCACATACTGGGAGCCCTCAGGCGTTGACCCCCATCACCCTCCAATCGCAGGATTGGCCCCTTGCCCAGGCCTGACGCCTCCGCCAGAGGTGTCAGGCTTGGACAGGGGACCCTCATCTCCCCCCATCACTGGCTCTGGCCCCCGCCCAGGCCTGAGGCCTCTGGCCCAGGAATCATGCCTGGGCAGGGGACCCCCATCTCCCTTTGATCGCTTGCTCCACCCCCCGCCCAAGCCTGACACCTCTGATCCAGGCTTCAGGCCTGGGCAAGGGGACCATCATATCCCCCCAATCCCCGGCTCTGCCCCCCACCCAGGCCTGATGCCTCAGCCAGAGGAGTTGACCCTCATCACCCTCCGATCACCAATCACCGGATCGGCCCCTTGACCAGGCCTGAGGCCTCTGGCAGAGGTGTCAGGCCTGGGCGGGGGACCCCCAGCTCCCTGCAGTTGCAGGCTCCGCCCCTGCCCAGGCCTAACGCCTCTGGCCTAGGCGTCCGGCCTGGGCAGTGGGACCTGCAGCTGCAGCGGCCCCGCAATCGTGGGCTTCGCTTTAGGCCCAGGCAAGGGACCCCTAGCTCCCGGGACTGCCAGCTTCGACAGTGCCCAGCTCCCATCGCTGGCTCCACCCCTACTTCCTGCTATCACTGGCCAGGGCGGCAAAGGCGCCTGATTCTCCGATCATGGCTGGGGGGCAGGGCAAAGGTGGCCCCAGGGCCGCCTTTGCCCTGCCCCCCAGCTTTTAGCTCCCCCTGGGTTTCTGATCACTGTCAGTGGCAGGGGGCTTCTTCCTGCTTTCCCTTTCACCTCCCTGCATTGTGCCTACATATGCAAATTAACCGCCATCTTGTTGGCAGTTAACTGCCAATCTTAGTTGGCAGTTAATTTGCATATAGCCCTGATTAGCCAATGAAAAGGGTAGCGTTGTACGCCAATTACCATTTTTCTCTTTTATTAGTGTAGATATATATATATATATATATATATATATATATATATATATATGCCTAATATGCTAAGTGTCGACCATTCGACCGGTTGCTATGATGAGCACTGACCACCAGGGGGCAGATGCTCCAATTGGTAGGTTAGCTTGCTGCTGGGATCCGGCCGATCAGGACTGGGCGAGATGGGGCCGGACAACCTGGAGTCCTCCCATGGTCCCTCCCTGGCCAGCCTACCTCCCTCGGGAATTGGGCAGGATGGCCCCGATTGGCCCCACCCGTTCATGAATTCATGCACCGGGCCTCTAGTGCTATTATAAGCAAGTGAGAGTATACTTGCTGTATTATACATTTTGCCATTTTTGAGTTGTTGGAAGCATAGGATTGGGGAGACTGGCCCCAAAAGATATGTATAATACTGTTCTGGTCTATGTACTTATTTTCATTAAAAATTATGGGCCATTTAAGGTTTTTCTATTTGCATTTTATCTTTAAGAGTCGGACTCTTTTATGACAAATATTTTTCAAATTACCCAAATATTGTTTCTGGCATCTGTTTTTAATTTTGGGAAATAAAATACCTGATATGATTTATAAATTATCTTTTGTCAAAAATCAGCTCAGTAAAAACTTGTGTTACTTGTAGACTATCTGTGGATATCTTTCAAAAGATACCGTAAAACCAATAGATAAAGAAGCCTGGTGATGAGGTTTCAAAGTACAGCTTACAGGGAATCAGGAGACATGGAATATATAGCTGTTATAACTTAATTTATCTCATGCTTATCTGAAAAATGAGGAAATTGGACTGATGGGTAGCTTCCAAGCTGATTTACAAAGGATCTGGGGAAGGTTGGTAGGCCGTGGAGTTGTATGTGGGGTCTGTTTCAGCTGGAACAGCATTGCTTTGTTAGGCTTATTGCATTATCATTTAAGTTGTAGAACAGATGTTGATGCTAAAAGCAGTTTGAATATCTTTACCTAAAGATTGACAGAAATAAAAGGCTTGAAAAGCCACCAAACTGAGTGATCACTCAAGTTCCTTTTAAGTATAGAATTCAATAAATATACCTTAAATATGAAGATCATTTTAGTCATCTTATTTTAGAGCTATAGAAAATTCTACCTGTAATGGCGTAAAATGCTATTTTTTTTTTTTTTTAAGATTGGCAGCCTTCAAGAAACATTGCTTAATTTAATAGAATACGCATAAACATTTAACTTGATTGCTCTTCTTCATATGTGATGTGATACGGAAAATATTGATTTGACCTGAGTTTTAGAATAGACGGGCTTATAAAAGAAGTTATGGGTGGAATGTGGAGGGTGCCTTAGGCATAGGGAAGTGAGAGCATGGCAGGGAACAGTGAGTAGATCTGTGTGATTGTGCTGAAGCCTTCACTTTAGGTAGAACGGTAAGATATGTAGGCCAAATTCTTGAGGGTCTGGAGAATAGAGGAAATAATTTGTAGGTCCAGATATTGTTAATTGATGTGGGATTTCATAGACTTGATAGTTCAGGAACCAGAAAATAGATTTGGTTCTTGATAATACCAAATTTTGGCATTTTAATGACAACTTTTTAATGTTATGCAAGTCTCTTGGATCACTAGTCCCTTCTGTATGTGTATCGTTTTATTTTATTTTTTATCACTAAATGTCTTAAATTGAGTTTCTTAGATGCAAAGTAGGAGACAGGGCTTTAGTGTGGGTTATTTATTGAGGGGGTCCTCTGCAGGAAGAACTGGCAAGGGAGTGAGAGAAGCAGAATGGAGAAGCTGGTGTGGGAGGCAGCGGGTAATGTCTAGGCACTCCTTGGAAATGTCCTGGCCTTGAGCCATTAGGATTTCAGCCACAGGGGTCGGCCTTGTGGGTGAGTGCAGTCATTGGCTGCAAAGGGTGTAGTGTAGGCAGGGATGGGAATTTCCTGGGAAAAGCAGACTTGTTTAATGTCCAAGACAGTTCTATAGAGAAGACAGAAAGAAGGCTGTAAGATTTTAGCATCGGGTGCTCCAGTCTTGTTTCTATTTAACTGGGCAGCCTAATTTCTAGTTTATTGTTTAGCAGCCAATATAAAATATATATCTACTGTAATTTAACTTTTTAAATGAAAACTCTTATTGTTACCTCATGAATTTCATAGTGGATCCTTGATGCTAAACTGTATAGAAAGTGCAATAAAAATTATAATTTTTCTTTGTAGTCATTACTATATACTATTTGCATGTATATAGTCATATGTAAACTTTAATTTTTATAATAATAATAGCTAGCCTTTATTAACTGTTTACTCTTTGCTAGGTACTGTGCTATATTTTATGTTTTATCTAATCTTTCCAATAACCTAAGTAAATATTGCTTTACACTTACAGACTAGAAAACAGGCTTAAAAGAGGTTCTGCTCTTGCCTCAAGTTTACACCACTAGTGAATAGTAGAGTTGGGATCAAAACCCAGGGCAATCAGACTGCTCATACTCTGTAACCATTGAGCATTGCAGCCTTCCTTATAAGTAGTTTGTGCTCATACATTGGATAGGTATTTGCATATATGTGTTATCGCACCAACTAGCTAATGAGCTTTGGGAAGACAGGAACCAAGAATTTTATCCTTTTTTGGACCCTTCTTCCATTATTCCTAGTATAGTACAGGAGCTTTAAATAGAACTATGAGTTGAATTAGAGAACAAACTGTGCATTTCCTTATACTTAATTTAGGGTAAATATACAAACACACACCAGTTATTCTTTTAACTTCCAAGATAATACAGGGTAGGGCAAAGGTAGGTTTACATTTGCTTGTATGGAAACCAATAAATAGTACTACAAGAATAAGCTCTGTTTTGCATACTCATGACTGAAAACCTACGTTTGCCTCACCCTGTAATTATTAGTAGCTAAAGTTAACCCTTCTTTTTGAATTGTTTTAAGTGGTTTATTCTGTAGCAGTTGGTCCAGGCACTGTGGGCATTTGAACCTTGAAGACTCAGTGGACACCAGTTGCTTGATACAGTTTTTCCTGGTGTTGAGTTATCCACAGGACTGGCTTAAAAACAAAGAAACAAGTTCCAGTTAAGGAAATCTATTGGAGCCATTTGTATAAGATCGGTTTTATAAGAATAGAGTTATAAGTTTGGAAAATTTAAATAAATCAGAGAAACTAACATTTGTCTCTTTACACATGTTTAGGTTTTGTAGGACTGTTTAATCTGCTGCTCTTATGGCCAGGTTTCTTTTTACTTCATTATACTGGATTTGAGGACTTTGAATTTCCCAATAAAGTAGTATTAATGTGCATTATCATTAATGGCCTTATTGGAACAGTTCTCTCAGAGTTCCTGTGGTTGTGGTATGTACTGTTTATTACCTCTGATTTATTAGTTATCAGTTTATGGACTTTTGGATAGTTTAAGCATTTATGTTTTTTTGGTCTTCTGATGGCCCTTGCTGTTCACCTTCTCACCTCACACTTAACAATTTAATACAGTAACTCCATTATAGCGGGAGCTTTGTGATTTTTTAAATTTCTAATTATCCATCATATAGAGCAATGTTTTGCACATAAAAGGAGCTCAGTAAATATTGAATGAATGAATATGAATGACCTAAATTTGTAGTGTTTTTTGAAGTAGTGTTATACAAATGAAAAGTGGCATCTAATGTTCATCCTAACTTACAAGATGTATTTCCTACATATTAATGACATGAGTTCTTAGTGAGACTCTGAGGATTTTGCTTGTCTAAGAGCCTTTGCTTATTTTAGAGACTTTGTCTCTTTTGTTTTGTTTATTCTCAGGAATTTTCATGTGGGTGAGTCACATATGTAAGCCCTAAACTCTGATTAGACATGTTAACATACTTTGAAATGTTAAAATATCAAATATGTTGATATTTAATAATAATCCTAAAATAGTTGGAAGACAATATCATGTATGGAGTTTAAGAAACCTTTCAAATATAGAGCTTGATACTTAGTCCTACTTCCACCTAATAAGAACTGAAAAAGAAACAAATTGTACTTAAACTACTAAATGAATTTTTATTGTATGGCATTTAAGATTGCTGACTAGTTTCCCTTGCAAAAGGCTGCGGCAAAAATAGCCTTTAGTAAGAAGTCTTTCTTTATGCTCTGCCTATACTTCTTCCTCTTCCCTAATAAGGGAATAGCTCTTACTTTCTTGATATCCTCACTACTCACTCTCTTTCATGTAGTACTTAAAGATTTCCTTTGTATTATAGTAATTTATGTACCCATCTTAAATTCCTTTGCTAATCTAAAACTCTTATCTCAGAATCCACTTACTCATTTATTTTTCCATCTTTTTTTACATGCATTTATATGCCTTTTTTAGCCTCAAATAGTTACATACTTTATCTTATACATTAATATATATCATATCCCTCTTGTTATCACTTCTTTTGTTCTATCATTTCTCTTGTCTCTCTCCACTCTTGGTTCTGAGCAGATAAAACTATTTACTGGTTGTGTTTTGATTTAACTTAGTAGGATCATAAAGAATTGTTGATCTTCAGCCATTTTTGACTGCAGTTTCATATGGTTCAACCCAATGAACCATATGCTTTAAATAATTATGTATTCATTGTATTTTAATACAAGTTCATATTTTCTGGTTTCGTAAGTTTAGTTGAAATTGGGAAATTCCAAAGCAGAGCATTTTTACATATCTGAAAGAAATAATTAAGTTTTTCTTTGGATATTAGACTAAATAAAGGTTTAGTTTGGTCCTTATTACTTGATTATTACATTGAGACTCATAGTAAACATGGACTGTGCCACCTATCGATATTAAAATGCTCATTCGTTATTGAACACTTTATTTTTAATAATAAACATATGCAAAAGATTTTCATTATGTTTAGCAGAATTTAATGTAGGCTTTGGGGACAATAAAATATGAGTTGTGATGTGTAATCTTTCCATTATGTGAGATTTTATAGTTTGCTCCTTGGAAAATTTTATATGTAAAGAAATAATAAATAGCATGTTTTACAATATTCTTTTTTATTTAGCTTTTAAAAATTAAAAGAGTGTACAAAAGAGTTCACAATCAAAAGGAAATGTCCCTTCTACCCCAAATACCTATTCCTTTTTCTCAAAGGCAACCACTATTAACATCTAAACCTTCTATAATATTTTCTATACATACAAAATTATGTTTCATTCTCTTAATTTTCCTCTCAATTTGTTTTATTTTCAACACACAAATAGGAGCATACTGTGGATATTGTTCTATACTTTACTTTTTTTTTCACAAATTGTCTTTCAATCTTCACATAATAGCACTTAGGTTCATTTTTTTAAAGGCTGTATTTTAAAATACTTTATTCCAATCCATTTTGTTATGTAATGGATAGAACATGTTTTACCAGTTCCTCATGGAGAGACATTTTCAGTTTGCAGTCTTTTGCTTTGTGAATAATACAGCATTGAGTATTCTTATATGTATCTTTGCATATATATGTTAGCATTCTATAGGATAAATGCCTCTTAGTGGAAAAGACTGAGTCAAACATAGACTTTAAATTTTGATACAGAATTGCAAAATCATTCTTCATAGAGGGAACACAATTTCTATCCTCTACTGTGTATTTGTGAGTGTTTATTATTAAATAGTTAAACTGGACACTGAAATTCATATATTATGATAAAGCTATATTTATCCTTACCTAGGATGGATTTTTCAGGATCTCAAGGTTTATTTTTCAGATACACCTCTATATTCAAGTGTTTATGAGTACTTACAGTAAAAACTCAGTAGCAGTAAAGTGAGTAAGTAATGAAACAAACATACCCCTAAATTCTAGGTGTTGGTAACTCAAAATAACCATAACAAGCCTATCAGACTTTTTATGATTGTACTTAGCATTATAAATCTCTAAGAACATATGCTACATTAAAAATATATACATTTAATCCCTGAACCCTCATTTCATAGAGCAGCTTATGAGTAGTGGAAACCACTAGTACTTGAGTTCTCTTTATTGCAGCAATAAGAACGAATTGTCCAGCCTCTGTTGAATATTTCAAATGACACTTTCAAGAGATAGCCTCTTTTATAACAAGACAACATTATAAATTCTAACCTATACTGAGCTAGAACTTGCTTGCCTGTAATTTCCGTGGGTCTATAGTCCTAATGATATACATTATGGTTTTATCTTGGCTATAATTCATTATCTTCTTATATACCCAAATTTTTAGTTGTTATAAATGGCTCGCCTATTTGGTATAATGGTTTCTTTTTTTCTTCAACTAAACAAAATTATATGCAAATTGATATTTTAAAATTTGATACCAATATTGATAGTTTAAGATAAAAATAAACTAATTGATAGTTCAAGGTGAAAATAATACAGGTTTTGGTTAGGACAATTGCTAGACAAGTGGGAAACAACAAGGAACTAATCCTTTAAAAATATTCAGTTTTTTTTCTTTTTAATGCTGAACCAAACCAGAAGAGCAGTACACATCTAAAGACTTAGTTCTCATGAGGGTGAGATATTTTTTGTTTGATGACAGACGCACATGTTGGCTTATCACTTTCTTAAAGTCTGTGTTGTGAGGTATTACAGTTTTAATAAAGCTTCCTGCTTTGTTAGCTAAGTATCATTATCACAACTCTTTTTTAAAAAAATGTATTTTTATTGATTTCAGAGAGGAAGGGAGAGGGAGAGAGGAATAGAAACATCAATGATAAAAGAGAATCATTGATTATCTGCCTCCTGCACATCCCCCACTGGGGATTGAGCCCACAACCCAGGCATGTGCCCTGACCAGGAATTGAACTGTGACCATAGGTCAATGCTCAACCACTGAGCCACACCAGTCGGGCTATCACAACTCTTGACAGTTTTGTAAAAAATGTTAAGGAAATTTAAGTTATGTATTTAAAGTTGAACAATGTCTGTAAGCAGATCTTGAAAATAGCATAAAATACCTCAAAATATTTATACTTACATATTTGGATTTTTAATATTTGAAGATAAACCTTAGGAATTATCTTAATAACTCTATTATTTATTTTGTCTCAGTCCATCCTGAGCTTTCATTTTTGCTTTTGATTTCTCACATCTATATTTTAGGGTAGGTAGACATTGATCATTGTTTTTCTTTGGTCCTTTTACTTTTTTAATATGGAAATGTATGTTTTGTTTTTTCCTTTTTAGGGGCTGCTTTCTTACCTCATCATTGATAGGCACACTTGCACTAAGCCTTACAATACCTCTGTCTATAATAGCTGACATGTGTATGCAAAAGGTAAGATAAGCTATTTATTAGATATTTTATGTATATTATTAAACACAGAGCTAATGAAGGTTTAGGGATGTGACTGAATTATAAGGGATACAACCATGAAAAATACTTGATGCCTTCCCTCCCAAGGTGCTTTACTACATAGAGATGTAAAAAGTACCCAAAGAGCCCAAGCCGGTTTGGCTCAGTGGATAGGATAGAGAGTTGACCTCCTGGGTTTGATTCCAGTGAAGGGCATGTACTTCAGCTGCAGGCTCTGCCCCACCGGGGCCCTGATCGGGGCTCCAGTAGGAGGCAACCAATCACTGTTTTTCTCTCACATTGATGTTTCTCAGTGTCTTTCCCTCTCTCTTCCACTCTCTTTAAAAAAAAAAAAAATCAATGTAAAAATATCCTCAGGTGAGAATTAAAAAAAAAAAAATGCCGAAAGAAATGGATAATATCTTGAATTTTTAGCTTTTCAATTTTTTTATCTTAAGAGTAGTATCTTTATATGTAGTTTTCCATCGTAGAGTAGATATATTCCATATGCTCTTTGTTAAGTCAGTGGTATAGAGTAGGGATATATTTTATCATTTAAGTAGTAGTGTTTTGATTTCTAAGATAAAATCCTTAACCCTGCTAATACTACTATAAATTTGTGAGGTATATGAGCAGTGTTGCTTCTCAGCAAATGTTCATTTCTTTCTGAACTCAGCAGGGCAGGGGCCTCCTCCCTCTTCTATGAAGTCCTGGTCTGGATACGGGAATCTTGTGATAAATATTGGCAGTACTGCAGACAAGAGAATCTGAGTCTCTCCCAACAGCCTGAAGGGAGGAGTTTCTTTAGTGCTCCTAAGGGTTAACAAGGAGAAAAGAGATATGCCATTGGCTAATGCTAGAAGATGTAATGTAGCATGGACCACTCAGTTTAGTATTTGTAAGCTTTTAAGTAACAAAATGGTGTGTGTGCGTGGGTGTGTGTGTGTGGGGGGGGGGGGGGGAGGGTTGGAGGGGAGGGTGTTGGTTTAATGTAATTGGAAGAGGAAATACTTGAAAGCCCAAAGGCATAATGTGAAGAACTTATAATCAGATTTTGAAAGCTAATTTTCTTTAGATCTTTTTGCACTTTTTAGGATAAAGTCAAAATACTCTTAATGATATCTATCTTCTTTATTTAAAAAAAAAACTGTACTAATATTTAACATGGTTTTGTGGTTTAGTAAATTCTTATTTATCATGGTTAAAAATGGAAATCTCCTTAATTGAGAATTAATTACCTTACATAGCATGCATTTTCAAAGAATGTCAAAATTATAAAATATATATAATACTAAAGTTACACATATTAGATTCTCTTTATAGATTTAAATAATATCCAGGTCCTTTACATCTCAGGGTCATAATCTTGAATATGAACCAAAATTGTTATAGTGAAATTGGGGAAGTAAGGATTTTGGTAGACCACTATGCAATTGAACTTTAATGTTCCAATATTTTGAAAACATTAGCTTTTGTACATTTGAAAAATAAAATTGAAGGTTAATTTTAGGGAATTTAAAAAAAGGAAATGTCACGGGGGATCTCATTTTATTAAATGATTTCATAATTTGTTTAACCAAATACTTTAAGATGAAGGTAAAACAAGAGAAAGTGTGTTGTGTGCGTGTGTATGTGTGTGTGTGTGTGTGTGTGTGTGTGTGTACATATATATACTAGAGCAGCGGTTCTCAACCTGTGGGTCACGACCCCTTTGGGGGTCAAGCGACCCTTTCACAGGGGTCGCCTAAATACATCCTGCATATTAGATATTTATATTACGATTCATAACAGTAGCAAAATTACAGTGATGAAGTAGCAACGAAAATAATTTTATGGTTGGGGGTCACCACAACATGAGGAACTATATTGAAGGGTCGCGGTATTAGGAAGGTTGAGAATCACTGTACTAGAGGCCTGGTGCATGAAATTCATGCACTGGGGAGGGGGGGTGTCCCTCAGCCCGGCCTGCCGCCCTCTCACAGTCTGAGATCCCTCAGGGGATGTTCACCTGCCGGCTTAGGTCCAACCCCTGACAGAACTGTAATAACATATCACAACTAGACCATAACATACTTTTTTTTTTTTTTAATATATTTTATTGATTTTTTACAGAGAGGAAGGGAGAGAGATAGAGAGCTAGAAACATCGATGGGAGAGAAACATCGATTAGCCGCCTCCTGCACATCTCCCACTGGGGATGTGCCCGCAACCCAGGTACATGCCCTTGACTGGAATCGAACCTGGGACCCCTCAGTCCGCAGGCTGACGCTCTATCCACCGAGCCAAACTGGTTTCAGCCATAACATACTTTTTTAAAATTTGAGATGACAGCCAGACATCCTTCTCGCAGTCCAGGACCCCTCACTCCTTACCGACCCCTGCAGCGGAGGTGGGAGAGGCTCCCGCCACGACCTCTGCGCTCACCAGCTGTGAGTCCAGCTTCTAGCTGAGCAGCGCTCCCCCTGTGGGACTGCACTGACCACCAGGGGACAGCTCCTGCATTGAGTGTCTGTCCCCTGGTGGTCATTGTGTATCATAGCAACTGGTCATTCTGGTCGTTTGGCCTTAACGGTCACTTAGGCTTTTATTATACAGATATGTCATTGATTAGAAAAACATATCCAAGTGGTCTTTTCTGGATTGTCTTCACATATATTATTAGGCAACCATTTAAATGAATAGGCTGAGTCTTTGGTGGAATTGAAGGTTGGGAGATGCCTTCTGGAAAAAGTCACAGGGTAGGCCCCAGAGCTATACTAGAAAAGCATGATGGGAGAAATGTACTTGCATGGGAATTTTTGATTCTATTAGCCAATCATGTTTATATATACTTTCTGAAATTTTAGCATTTATTAACAATATTTGTGCTTAAAAATATTATTTGAACTTATTTATAATTGACATGTTGTATAATAGGAACTATATCTGATTACTAGTATACTTAGATTTATTTTCAGATATATTTAGGAATTATATATTTTTTATATAGGCAATTTTCTTTGTTAATAGGTGTCTTCATTTTTAAAAATTATCTTCTTGGATAATCTTCTTTAAAAATTAGCTTCTTGGAAATCCAGTAGTAAGTTTTATAGTATGTGGCAACATGCAACCTGCATTGTTAAAAGTGAACTTTCCTTTAAAAGTCATCTAGGGTTTCACCTACCTTTATAAAGTTTGCTTTAATTCAGTTATAGGGTTTTTAGTTGAATATTCATGAAATCATTCTATCAACTAGATCTACATTTTAGCCCTCAGTATTCATAAGTTTTTCTGGTCTTGAGTCATTTAAGTGCATTGTGGCTTTTCTAGATAAGAAAATGTTCTAAGATTTTGTTATACCAATAATTTGATAACAGCATGAAGGCTTTTTATTTTCTCTTACTGACTGATCTTTCCTGGCATTCTTAGGCTGACTCAGCCTGTGGGTTGTACCATGCACTCAGGATGTGCATGTTAAATTGTCAGTTATTGTTCATGTGTTACACATTGTGAGTCCCTCATAAAAAACATCATTCTCACAAAACCCCTTTGCTCTAATGGTGGTATGAAGTGAAATAGTATATGTTTCCCACCAGAGGGAGTTCTTAGTTGAATCTAGGTGGTAAAGGTAAACTGAAAGAGAAGAATGATTTTTTTTGTAACTTTATGGCATCTCATTATTTTTAAATTTCTTGACAACCCTCATAAAATGATGGGTTGGAGGGCCTGACTTGATGGCTGAGGGCTCTGCACCACTGAGGCGTAGCTCGCTGCTTGTCTTCTCTGGCTCACATTTCTCACATTCCTATTTGTAGTCTTTATTTTACTTTTGAAATTTTTTTGTTACTAGATAATCAAGCTCATTTTAAGTGTCAGGATTAAAATTTGTTGCCAATTGTTAATAAAAGGTTTATAGAAGTTGAAGTTAAGAGTTTAATCTGTTTTTAATACTATCTTAAGAACTGTAACAACACAACATATCACAACTAGACCATAACATACTTTTTTTAAAATTTGAGTTTTTAAGATGACTTCAGAAACTGAAGGGCAGGACCAACTTGAGATAAATAGTAATCAGTGAAGGGGAAATGGGCAACGTGATCCGTAAGACAAAAGCTTAGAGTTTCATAATTCTGTTCTCAGCCATACTGTGCCTAATAAGTGAAAAGCATGCCTTTCTGGCTTTCCTTTAGGCTGTTTCCCAAGTGAGAAATATTTTAGTTGGTAATTTAAGCAAGTGGTTAAGATGTTGAAGTCCTGAATCCTTTTTAATAATAATATACTTACGAATGTATTGTCAGTACTTAGTATTACTAGTATTTTCTTGGCTTGTTAACTTATTCCCGTAACTTTTCATAAATGGGAAACTTACATTAAAGGGGAAAATCATCTTCATAATAATGATTGTGTTTTTTTCTACCTTTTATTTTTAGGTGCAGTTTTCTTGGTTATTTTTTGCAGGCGCTATCCCTGTATTTTTTTCATTTTTTATTGTAACTCTCCTATGCCATTATAATAATTGGGATCCTGTGATGGTGGGAATCAGAAGAATCTTTGCCTTTATATGCAGAAAACATCGAATTCAGAGGTATATTTAGCTACAATATAATTTTTAAACAAATAATATTTGCTAAATAAAATGGGAATCATATCATGCTGGCCTGAATTTTAGAGATTTTGTGAATTATTGAAAGATTATAATTATATATGTACTATGCCAGGCAAAATTAAAATTGTTCAGATCCTTAGGTTATAAGATAGTTTCTTCACAACTACTTTTAAAAAATGTTTTGATTTACAGGTAAAACTAAAGTTCTTACTGTTTTGCTATAACACATTTAAATGTAGAGAACTCTTATTGGTTTTAATAAAATTCATAATAAAATATGATAACATTGCCTCAAAATTTTTTTCAATTTTTTTAAACAGAGAGAAAGCTTTCATATTCTATTATAGAAAGAACTTGAGACAAGTTGTTGAGAAATTTTGCCCTAGTCTTAGTTCTGACCACACAGCTTCAGCCATCTGTATGGGTCATTTTTAAGGGTTCCTTTTAGCTCTAAAGCTTTCCTTAACTGTTGCCTTTTTTTAAAGGGTTTCAGAAGACAGTGAACAGTGTGAGAGTCTTATTCCTATGCACAGTGTTGCTCAGGAGGATGGAGCTAGCTAGCTGTTGTCAGTCATCCAGGTTTGTATGTTAGCTGGCCTTAGTGTTGACTAATTCTAATTCTTGTATTGCTTATATACAAAATTGAATTTCCGTAATTAGTTGTTTGAGAGGCTATACAACCAAGAGGCTAATGGAGTTAAACTGCCTGGGTTTCATTTCCAGCTTCACCATGTACTAGCTCTGTGACCTTAAAACAAGGTTCCTAACCTCTCTGTGCCTCAGTTTTCTTATTTGTGGAAATGGAGTTATAATAGAAATTCCCTCATTATTAAGGGAGTATTAAACATAAGTTTAAACTTCATAAGTTTAAAGTACATACAGTATTAGTGCCTGACTCAAACTAAGTGATTCCAAGTTTTAACTGTTACTTTTATTCGTGTCCACCATCATCATTTTACTTATGATATACTTTAGAAACATGTTTTTTCTCTAAGTATAACATTCAGAAAAAAATGCAATACTTGGATATGTATTCAGTCTTTTCGTTATGCATGTGTTACTATAACTGGCCCAGTATATATCCTGATTCTCTGACTGCTTTTTCATTTAACGATGTTTGAAGAACATTTCCCCAGTTTTTAAAAATTTTAAGAAACATTTTATATTTCTTATATGAATGAAAAAGTACATTACATTTTATATTTTGCTGAATGCATGTTTAAAATATATCTGACATATGTCTTTGTCAGGTACAAAAGTGATTATTTATTTAGAATGAGAGATCATAATAAGTTACCGAAATTCTGGGCATGCAGGCTCTTTTTTTCTGAGATAACTTTAGGCAGCTGAGATTGAAATGTGTCCTAATTGCAACTGGGGGTTCCCCTCCTCACATAGAACATCAAGCAACTCCTGTCAATTCCTTGTAATCACACGGACCTTGAAACTTAAGTAAATTCCTCATGGTAAATTCATATACAAACTAATTGTCTTGGTTTTGTGTTTTTCTGTGATTGGTCATTTTCCTTTTGTTATGATGGTTATACATGCCCGTAGTTCAAAAGGGTTCGAGTTCCACATGACATCTTATACAAAGGAGTTCTCCCTGCTCTGCACTATCTATCCTGTGTTCACTCTTTTCCCATTCTCAGGAATCACTTTAAACTCTTAGTGGAGTCTTTGGTATTTTCCTCCCTGGCGCTCTAAAGTACCATGCCTATACTTCTGTTTCTTGCTTTCTTGGTTTTAGGCATATTCAGTTGATTTTCCCACTGTGGTAAATGAGGATGGGTTACTTTCAAGTGCCTCCCTCCTCTGTTCTCACCCCACTTGCCTATTTGCCAACTCAGTATCACTCCTTCCTTCTTATCAACCCAGTATCATTATTACATAATTTTGTGTAGATCTATTGTCAACTTTTACATTGTTATGACTATACAAATGTTGCTTTTATCTGAGGCATATAGGATTGTGCTTGGCATTTCCCCAATCCAGAGACCCTCTGTTACTACTTTTTCTTTTAGGAATAAGCCTCTTTTGGGAGGCACCAACTGTGAAAGATAAAAGGAGGGCATCTGATTTTCTAACTGCTTTTTCTATAAAATTTGCACCAGTCTGGTTGTTTTTAGTCGTGTCTTCATTTGAGAGATATAACTGGTCAATTTCTCTACTGCTAGCTAAGAGTTAGCCACTATTTTCTTATCTCTGCTCTGCTCTTTGTCCACATGGTTTATTCCTTTTAAAAAGTCTCTTTATTGTCTTTTTACTGAGATTTTTAGGGACAGAGTGGAACTAATATGTGTTTATTTGCCAACTTTAAATTAAAAAAATACACGTAGTTATTCTTGAAAGCTTTTTATTGCTATGACATACATTTTCCCTCCCTAGTATGCTGTGCATTATCCCCGTACTCATACTTAAGTTTCAATATTTATGGAAGTGAGAGCTGGATAAAGGGGAAATGGTGACGACAAAAGAAAATGGGCTACAATAAAGCAATAAAGTAGGACAGGTTGGGCAGGAGTCTGTCTCAATGTGGGTAATGGTGGAATACACCGTGATTAAACTTATTACATGATCTTTAAGTAGTGTTGGGTGTCAGCCTCTGACACTGCTATAGTACTTAATTACATGTGTTCTCAGGATTCACCTCAAGTTCATATATCCAATTATATATACTACATAGATTGTGTTTGATGTATATTTCAATGTTAAGATAATTTGCTTTTTAAAATATAAACTATAGGAAATTAAAGCTATGGTAGCTGTTATCTAATGATTTTGTGTTTGCTTTTATTTTCAGCTTGACAATGGAACATTATATAGCGAAGAGACAATCTCTGGCAAGGTTTTGGAGAAAAATGTTTCAGTGCCTACTCTGAAAAATAACATTTTCAGTTCTTTGGAACTCTAAAATATATTTTCCTCATATTGGTGTTCTTCATTTTCATAATGAAGTTCTTTGCTATATAGCTGTGTACACGTCACTACAGTTATAGGAAGTTTCAGTCCACAGTCTGTCTAAAGGACCACCTGCCTTATACATCTCAAGGAATTCAGCTGATGAAATAATCTGAACTAATCAAGGGATAAAATCCTAATGTCTGGAGATTTTATCTTCACCTATTATTTGTTAAATGCTGGACTGTATTATGAAAATGTTTTCAAGAAATTGTTTAGTATGTAGATCAATGTTTGTATAGGTAAAATGCTAAATTAAGCTGCCTATAATAGGTACAGATTATATTTCTGAGTTTTGTAGAATATTGCAAATTAACAAAAAAAATGTTCAATTTATGTGACAAGTATATTTACACAAATTTGGTTAGACTTCAGAAAGGATATTTGAGATAAGATCTGGTTCACTTACACTACATATACTGTGTTATCCTTTCATAGCATTAGGTGCCTTGTATTTTAAATCTGTGACAAACCATGACAAATTTTTAAAGGGGAAATATTGTAAAATGAAGAATCATGTATTTCTAAAGCCTGTATTGCTGTAAATTTAATTGATAAAGCTCTGCTTAATTTAGAGTTTTGAAGAAATATTCTCTCTTCAATTAAGACATTTTCATAATGGAATGACTTAAATTGAAGTGATAAGAGTATTATGAAAATAAAGTGTTTATATATATGTGTGTATTATAGATCTGTCAGTTGGTTTCTGATTTTTTTTTTCACATAAAAATGTGCCACATTACTATGGAACTGGATGCCTCTTCTTTATATAATTCTAGGTTTTTAAAAAAATAATTTTTAATGGATAAAATACCAAAGAAGGAAGGCAAGAAATTCATATTAAATTACATTTAAAATGAATCTACCAAGTTTAAATTAATTATAAAATACTCCTAATTTTAACTCCTATACTTAGGTCTTATATATCCATATTGTGCAACTCTTCCTGGATTCTCGTCATTGTAGACATTGGGAATGAAAGTATGTCTCAGGATTCATCCAGGCTTTTCAAGTTCATTACTCTGCAAAATTTCTTATCAATATTTAAAAAATTCCCTTTGCTATGTTTAGCTTCAGTTTGTGTTATTCACATTCTTTTTAAAAAATCTTTATTGTTGAACATACTACGTATGTCCCCTTTTTCCCAATTGACCCCTTTAGCTTGCCCTGCTCCATGCCCCCCCCCCCCCCGGCCTTCACCATCCTATTATCTATATCCATGGGTTATGCATATATGCGTACAAGTTCTTTGGTTGATCACTCCCACCCACCCACCTTCCCACACCTTCCCTCTGAGATTTCTCAATCTGTTCCATGCTTCCATGTCTCTGGATCCACTCTGTTCTTAAAAGTGCTTTAGTGTTACCATGAGTCTATAGTGGAGTTTAACCCTTTTTCTGCCTGTTCTGAGAACTCATATTAATTTAAGATTGTGTATGATATCACATTTTAAAAACAGATGACTGCTTTCCTATTTGGTACCACCAATAATTCTTGTTAAGCTAAAAGTAATACTGATTTTGTTAGCTTGACACAAGGTTAAGGCATGTAAAGAGTGGGGACTTCTAGGGAATTTTCTCCTAAAAAGAACTTAATGAAGTAACATTTCAATCACTCAAAGACTAATTTTGGTTGAAGTTTATTATCTAGCCACCTCTGCTTTCTGTTTTTGCTGTTTGACGGTTCACCAATACCTTCAGCAGTTTAGAGGGTGAGTAGTTGAAACTGGAAGTAACATTTAAATTTTAATTTATTTAAGTAGGAGAAGAGGTTGAACTTAGAATTTTTGGTTCTTCATGTGGCCTATGTTCACGTCTTACAGATCGCGTGTTCTCACTCAGGATTCGGGGAGTATTAAGCCTTTTGTAACGTGCTGGATAGATCTTGAGGAGGACTTCTTGTAGGCAGCTGCTCAGCTGTTTTATTATCGAAGAACAACTGTAGAAGGAAGCACCATTAAATTGCTTAACTGAAGTAAGAATTACTGCTGTTTGCTTGCCCACCTATTGTTTTTCCTCATGTTTTATTTATCTGACTGATTTTGTATTTGGTTACTGTACCTAGAGTGAGCAGCAACTGAGGACGACTTCCTGCACCTTTGTAGTTAAGGGTTCATCTTCTCAAGATAAAGTTGTGATGGAGTACTTGCACTCTGTGATTCCCCAGAAATGTCAGCATCCAGCCCTAGGATCATAGCAGCCACCTGGCAGGCCTCTGGGAATGCTGGGGCGCTTCCATCCTCTTTGAGCAGTGTTGGCTCATGTTTATGGTTTTCTGAATCTAAAGATACAAAGAGAGATTCTAATACCTCGTTGCAGTCTTCTTTTCTTCCCATACATAATTTAAATCTCATTATTATATAATGCTTCGAATTATGCCCTTGACTGAAGGAAGTTCGCTGTTTTCTCAAAGACTTTCTGTTACTGAACATTAGAATCTCTACTAAAACAAAACTGAAAGAAAAGGCAGCCTTGGAATTTCTTAGATGAATGCTTTTTGGAGCTTAGAAAGGCTATTTAGATGTATGTAATGCACTCATTTTTATTCTTTAAGTAAATTTTGATTTTTTTAAAAAATTGAAATATTGGCTTCGATCAGCCTGACTTAATTATAGAGTAAACCAATTTCCCCTCTGAAAGTTGATGAATAAAGTTCATTGTTGCTATAGATGTGAGCTCATGGGTTAAATGTGGATATTCTCAAAGGTGTGAGGCTTGTTTCAGGAAGAATGTTAATGCTCCCTTTGCAATCAGTCATGCAGAGCCCAATTTGGGGTTGCGGAATATGACTTCAGTGGAAGCCAAGGTTTTTCATAATGCACTGTGGTCAGGTCTAGCACATATTCTCTGTGTGCTGGTTGAAGAAACACAATTTAAAGACAATAAACTAGGAATTAATTAGAAATTTTTTTTTTTTTTCATAATCATACCAGCAAATAAATAAAATGTTATTTTAAGTATTTCCAGTTGTAATCCTGCTTCATTTCTCTCTGCTTTTGAGATATTCTTTATCACTAAATACTATTTTAGGAAAAATTCACATAAATAACAGATGAATATTATCTGTGATATCTGCAGATTTAACTTATATAGCTAACATACTGTGTGCTGGTTTTTTAACAATGACATGACATATATGAGCGTTTCAGTTTACAGAATTTGAAGTTCTCCTGTAATGTTTGTTAAGTATCCAAACTTCCATTTAGATAACTGAGGTACCTTTTTAGAGTTACAATAGTTAGACCCACATTTCCTTCTTTTTATGGTATTAGCCTCATGCATCTGTACCAAAATTTATAATACAGTGTTTCATAGTTTGTGTACTGAGATATTTCCTATATTAACATTTTATAGTATATTCTTAATCTCCTTTGGCTAGTGAATTAAAGCTGAATTTGTCTAATATCAGCATACTGTGTTTTGTATCTGTATATATAAAAGCCTAAGTGACCGGACAACCAGCCGGTAGCTATGATGTGCACTGACCACCAGGGGGAAGACACTTAATGCAGGAGCTGCCTCCTGGTGGTCAGTGCACTCCCACAGCCAACCTCCTGTGGCTGGCCAACTTCCCAATCGAGGCAGCCAGCCAACCTCCCACAGTCCCTCCCGCACAGCTGACTGGCCCCAGTCGGCCCCCATCGCTGGCCAGGCCAAGGGACCCCATCTGCACGAATTCATGTACCAGGCCTCTAGTGTTTACATAAAATGAGAGGGCATCATTCTGACCAAGTTGCAGCATTGAAACTTTATCTGATGGGTCTACGTTGAGTAATCAACCCTGTGTGCAAACACTCTCAAGAAAGGAATAGTATAGAAATCATTTTATATAAAAGCTCCAGTACCAGACCCAGAAGGCCAGAGGTAAGGGAAAGATGAAATATTTATGATAAATTAAGGAAACAGTCTTAGATATAGTCTCCTTGGTGTGGATAATTTAATGCAGATTTTAACCTCAAGTTTGTTACTAAACCTGAAATTTTATTCCTCCATCTGTTTAATAAAAAAATATTTCAGACCCTGGAGTATTTAAAATTTAAACATGAAATTAATTTTAATTTCTGTGAATGTTACTAATTCTGTTATAATTTGGGGTCAAAACTCCCATTTTTTGGAGACAATTGCTTATTCATATACTATGTAATCTGGGAAATTTATACTATGAAGAACCTAATGTAAAATATGCATGATTTACTTTAATGCATTGTTTGTGTAAAATCATTTGCATATTCTATTATAGTATTTCCTAATCTCAGTAAAAATACACAAGCCAAGATCCATCTTTGTACAAGCCAGTATTGGATTTCTAGTTTCCTTTATTAAAACATTTCCACTCATTCTTTCATGCCTCAATGTCTAAGATGTATGTCAGATACCTGATAAGTTAGATCTTCCTGTGAACAACATGGTCAGTTTTGAGAGACCAAACATGCTCAGTGAGTTGCATCCTCCGCATGTTAAAGTCTAAAGCCAACGTAAAAGGTGAAGTTCTGGAATAATGTATTCTTGGGAAGGTTTCCTGGAGGAGATCCATATTCCATTTTGTGATAAGGCCACTCCAATGCGTTTTCCTCTAAGTTGGAATAGCTCACTCTTTTACTGAGGATTGTAGCAGTCAGGGTTCTACCAAGAAGAGAAAAACTACTTGAGGATTTTAAACAGGGAATTTAAAACAATTGATTGCTCAGCGTTAAAAGAGCTGAGAGGACAGGCAAAAGACTGAGGTCACTCAGAAATTAGTAACAGCAGGAAGCCAGTACTATCCTGGGGCTAGTTGGACAAAGGAAGGAAGTGGGGCAAAGCTCAAGGCCAGGGTCACGCAAAGGAAGCCGAACTGTAGCAGAGAAGAGCAGGGTCTTAGAGGTGATGCAGCTGATGGCAGAGCAGTACTCTGGCTTCTCTTCCTTCTGTCATTGACTCCGGTTGGCAGCACCTGACTGGAAGCCAGAGGCCCCAGGAGCTTGGGAAGTGTGGCCTGTAGGTGTCAGGGAGCCAGAGTCCACAGGCCCAGACCTGGCCCAGGCACTGAGGAGCTGGCTTGCACTGGGAGGCCAGGTTGTGTAGAGAACGCATATCCTTAAGGAATAGAATCAACAGGTGAAGATGACAGTACAAGAAATACTCTGGAAGCAAGATTGGCTTTGTCTCAAGTCCACTCCAGAAAGAGGATTTGGAGGAAATGCCTGCCCTGGACTTCATTTCTCATTCACATCCCTCATCTAGTACTTCCCACTCCCTCCTTTCCTTGTTCCTTCTCTCCCCCAAACAGGGCTGGTGGGAAATGTGAGCAACAGTATTGCTTTTTAAAAATCAAACATGAAAATAGAACATGAAAAGAATGTGTAGTGCCTGACAGGAAAAGAGCTAAAGCATTCAGGATACTACAGTCATGGAAGTGTTGGGAAAGAGGAAGCAATTTCTTAAATGACTCATGAAAGATAGAAAATAAAACCTTAAGGAATTAGTGTTCTCAAAACTTTACTCTATTTAGAACTTCATCTACCTAATTACTTAGAAAAGTCACTTAATCTTACATCACCCCTCACCTTTAGAGAAAAAAGTGTAAACCAGTTCACAAATTATAGGATCACTGTTTTATCACTGGAAGCATCTCTACAGACTAGTGACAGAATTAGGGTGACCATGTGTCCCAGTTTGTTAAGGACAGTCCCAGTTTACATCTGCTTCCTAGTATAATTATTAATAGTGCCACCTTTCACTCAAAACTGTCATAGTTTAGATA